GCATTTTTATCATGCCTTAACCAAAAACATTTTCCCCTAAAATAAAAATTAATAATAGCTAGGTATATTACCAACCCCACTACAGATATGTGAGCAACACACAAATGAGCTGTTCAGCCGAGCCAAGCCGAAATAGTGTAGCAGAATCTTGCGGAACTTCCGAAACCTGCAGCATTTGTTTGGTCACCGGCATCTCTCGGTTGCTACATTTTTTTTTCTCTTTTGTCTAGCTACATTGATTGTTTAATTAACTGGGAGATTCGATTCGATCGATTACAAACTAAAATAATATTACTATACATGTGCCGAATGCGATAAACCCTAACTTAGTTATAGTTAAATCTTGTAGTTAAATGATGTTTTTTTTTTCTTGATGAATAAAATAAGTTGTATTTATAGACTTATAAAGATAAAATTTATGATTTTATGAATTTTTTATATTTTAGGATAAAAGATTTGTTCAAGTTTTTCTAAACAAAAATATGTAAGTATGATTGTGAGTGAAGTAGGTCATATCCATCACCACACATTCATCAAAATCCAACCGTTTAATGAGAGATCCATTGGTCATCTTTTTGTCTCAACAACAACATATATAATTATTTACACTTTTATTAATTTTCACCTACCATGATTCATGCAAGTTTCTATTCCACCTTACTCTTTAGTTTTCATTTTTGCTTTTTCTTTTGTCCACCAGCTTATTAGTATTCTTGTGTTTCCCTTGTAGTAGTCATCATGAAATTATTTAAACTTATTTTAATATGAAATCAGTTTGTTTGTTTTAAATTTTTAATGTATGGGCCTTAAATAAAAAAGGATCTCTGATAAAAAAAAGGAGTCAAATTGTGCCTCGATAATCAATATTCACAACTACTTTATAAATGTATCAACTTATATGTATTTTAATAATTAATCGAATAACTATTTTTGTTGTCAACAATCAAATTTGATATAAGTATTCCAGATAATACTTATTGCAGAGTATTATCTATTATTTTAAACTAAAATTCAGGCTTCTCAAATTTCGGTTTGATATATAAAATATTCCAATGTAACAGTATTTAGTAGTTTTTGGAAAGTATCATTTTACTTTTAAATAAGTTTTTCTTAAAATTTCATCCATAGTTAACAAAACATGACAATTATAGTTAGCTATTACACGCATATTATATTAATGATATTTTGAATTAAATAGTATAAAATATAATAAATTTCATTTCCTTTATATTATGATATATAATTTTGTAATGAATATATTTCTTCTTTGCACATAAGGTAAACCATTTAGTTTTAGTTATAAGCAAACGGATTATAAAAAATGTATGTCTTCTATTTTATATTCGTTAACAAAATAATAAAATCCTGCAAACTTTAACAAGTATTTTTATTTATTCTGTTTTAAAACTAACGAGAGCTGCTTTAGACTTAGCCGAATAAGCCAAAGAAGTACATTTGGTAGTCCAAAGCCTAGAGCTGCTTTAACCTATAGATCCGGTGGCCAGTCAACAGTGCCGTTAATCCCTATAAATAGCAACGGCGTTTTAAGCCACAAATCGTCCCGAGTCGTTTCCTTCGGTATCAGATTTGCTTTGAGGCATATTTGGCAGTGAGAGATCTGATTTTCCCAGATCTGAATCGCCCAATCTCTATTCTCTCTCGCCAAAGGTATTTTCACTCTTCTTCTTCTTCCTCTTTGTTCTTCATCGATTCGTGTTCTCTTCTTTTGTTTTCGGCGCTGATTTCTCTCTCGATTTTACGGCCGTGTGCTTCGTTAAATCTGCGATGAAATGAGATTTTTCTATGCTTTTCGATTCAGATTTAATCATTGCAAATCGTTTACGCCTTATTGTGACTGGATCTGCTTTTTTCGCGAAATGAGATTCTGAAGTTCTTCGTTCGATTTGAGAGATGTAGGTTAGGTCATATGGTTGTTCCAAGCGAATCTATGAATGTTTCAGTTGTGGTGCCACAGATTTAGTTATTAGGGTTTAGCTTTGGATCTGTTCGTTTTCGAGTCCTCAAGTATCTAAATCTTACTTCGATAATTGTTTCATTTTCTCAGTTTCGAATTAGTTTTAGGTTTCATCATAGCGGATCTGCATCGTGGGTAATGTGTTTTTGCAAATCTTTGGATTTTCTCACTGATCACGAGTGTATATGATTTGAATTTGGCTCTCTTTTTTTTAGTATCAAAGTTGTAAAAGCTTTGCTCTAAGTCTAAGTTTATTTGCTTTTAAATACCATGCATTAAGTCTATAAGCCATAAATGAGTCTTGCTAGATAATTATTGCCCATATAAACTATTGAGATTGAAGTTCCTTAAAGCCAATTAGACTTTTCTCTGTGATTTCTTCTATAGATCTCCATCTTTTTAGAGCTGCTACTTTCTCACAACCCATTTGTGGGGGCATCTATCGAGTATCAGAAGAATCGAATCATTTAAGATAAGATGCATCCGTTTTTATGCTGTTTTGCTAAGCTGTTCCACAATGATTTGGAATCCTTCTAGCTTTATGTCACTTTAGTGTGGAATCAAAATGATTCTCTTTAATTTATATAAAAAAGAAGGTTTCCGGATATGTTGAGACTGACTTTTTCTACTTGTAGTAGTATAGTTGCTGATTCAATACTTTCTTCTCTTCTTTGTGTAGCTTTGAAAAATGGAGACTTTCCTATTCACATCCGAGTCTGTGAACGAAGGACACCCAGACAAGCTCTGCGACCAGATCTCTGACGCAGTCCTCGATGCCTGCCTTGAGCAAGACCCTGACAGCAAAGTTGCCTGTGAGACATGCACCAAGACCAACATGGTCATGGTCTTCGGCGAGATCACCACCAAGGCCACGGTCGACTACGAGAAGATCGTCCGTGACACTTGCCGCTCCATTGGATTCATCTCCGATGATGTTGGTCTCGACGCCGACAAATGCAAAGTCCTTGTTAACATCGAGCAGCAGAGCCCCGACATTGCTCAAGGTGTTCACGGCCACTTCACCAAGCGTCCAGAAGACATCGGAGCTGGTGACCAAGGACACATGTTTGGTTACGCCACTGACGAGACCCCTGAGCTCATGCCTCTGAGCCATGTTCTTGCAACCAAGATCGGTGCTCGTCTCACAGAAGTCAGGAAGAACGGGACTTGCCGTTGGTTAAGACCAGACGGCAAAACCCAAGTCACTGTCGAGTACTACAACGACAATGGCGCAATGGTTCCAGTCCGTGTGCACACTGTCCTTATCTCAACCCAACACGATGAAACCGTGACCAACGACGAAATCGCACGTGACCTCAAGGAGCACGTTATCACACCAATCATCCCAGAGAAGTACCTCGACGACAAAACCATCTTCCACCTCAACCCATCAGGCCGGTTCGTGATCGGAGGACCACACGGTGACGCCGGTTTAACCGGACGTAAGATCATCATCGACACGTACGGTGGATGGGGAGCACACGGAGGAGGAGCATTCTCAGGAAAAGACCCAACGAAAGTGGACAGAAGCGGAGCTTACATCGTGAGGCAAGCCGCGAAGAGCGTGGTGGCTAATGGGATGGCTCGCAGGGCTCTTGTTCAGGTCTCGTACGCCATTGGAGTCCCCGAGCCGTTGTCTGTGTTCGTGGACACATACGGGACCGGGTTGATTCCAGACAAGGAGATACTGAAGATCGTGAAAGAGAGCTTCGACTTCAGACCAGGGATGATGACGATCAACTTGGACTTGAAGAGAGGAGGCAATGGAAGGTTTTTGAAAACGGCGGCGTATGGACATTTCGGAAGAGACGACCCTGATTTCACTTGGGAGGTCGTTAAGCCACTCAAGTGGGACAAACCTCAAGCTTAAAAAAGTTTCTACGCCTTGATTCTGTCTTTTTTTTTTTCACTTTAAAACTTCTACTATGAGCAATAATAATTAATCCCTCTGTTTCTGTTTTTTTTTTTTTTTTACTTTTACTTTTTCCTTCTCTTTTTTTTTGTACTATTGAAATGAAAGTTTCTGGTTTGTTTTACTTATTTAATGATGATGGATGACCTTTTATGATGTTTTCTCTCTTCACTAGTAAAAAATGTATTGGGTTGCAATATTGGTATACTATTAGTAGATTGATAAATGGATTGTATAAATTAGTTTCTTTGGTTATATATGGGTCCATGTAATTATGTATGTTTTCCGTTTATTACTCTTCGTTTCACAAACATTTTTTGACAAATTAAATTCTTTCTAACCATTTTTTCCACCCGCTTTTTTAGTCGTCTATCTAACTCTCTCTTTGATTGATTGATTGATAATTTTGAAGATGTTACAATTCTAACTGTCACTTACGGTTGAAGGGTACCAATCAAATCCAAAAGAAACGATGACGAGTAACTGAGTAGCCGATTAGTATATTTATAAACTAGAGTGAAAAAATGAAAATGAACAAAACATAGTATTGGACTTATGTAATCTGTTTATGTCACAAATACGAAATCACACGCATTCTCTTGGAGTACAACACAAAACTACTAGCATTCTCAACAAACGACACTTCTACATGATTATTTTTTTATAAAAAAAAAAAGAAGACAGATCATACGTTTGATCCATTGAAAGTAAATGGATATATAGATGTGGAACCCATTTAAATTGCCTGCTCTAACTTTATGAGATTCTTTCTTGTCGGTTCATACGATACGATACGAGACGTACGAAAACATTATATTGATTCGAACATAAATTTTAAAACTGCTTCATAGCGTTAAAACTTAGACACAGACTTGTAATAATGATTAACAAATTGTGTTTATATATGTAATCAGTCACTATACATGGATACTGTCATTTAACAACTCTCAACTTGTTTTTCTTTTTCTTTTCTTAATTATAAATTGAAAATTATGAAAAAATATAATAAAGTCATTGCTACCGGTTTAACAAATTATTTTCTGCTAAGATTTGTGTGCATGGATTGGGATGGGAGACTTGGCCAAGTCAACCGACCTTTCTACTAAATCAAAAGACAAAAAAAAACCTCAACTTTCGAGCAGTCTTAATCTTAAGATGTGAGTATTATTTACATTGTCACAGTTTTATACAAAGCAACCAAAAAATAAAACATATACACTTGTATTATCTCTGATGAATTGAGAGATACCTCTTTTGTATGATTCAGTGCTGCTACACATGTTCAGATATCTTTCTTTAAAAAGGAAAAAAAAAATAAGAAGAAGATAATTGTACAAGAAGGAAAAAATAATAATTACAAAGGACCCCCTAAAAGATCAGGTAATGTGATTTTCCCCAAATTATTAGGATCAAGTTTATCAAACTGAATCGCGACTTGGTTAATGTCTTTCTCACTAATCTTCTGCATTTCCTTAAGCTTCAACACAATATACTCTGATCTACTGAGAGACACCAAAATAAAATAAAAGCAAATATAAAAGGGTCAGAAGATTAATCACTCTACTCAGTCAATTAGTCATTCCTGTTTATAAAACCATTGGATCATTAGATGAAACAAATACAGATAATTTATATTTTAACCCCCTTTGATAGTTAATTGTTGCGTCCAATGAAAAGTCTAAGATTGACATGATTAAACTCTTTGGCCTACACAATCTAAACACACTATTTTAAGCTATTTGCCCGAACTGTTTTCACTTTTCAGCTTCAAGAATCAGTTAGATCCTTCGAATTGCGAAAACCCATTACCATAAACAGCTCAAGATCACTCTTAATTCCAAGCAAATGATTAACGACTAACCAAAAATCAAACCTTTTTAAGAAAAACAAACCAGAGAGAGACTCTGTTTTGGGAAGAAGAAAAAAAAGATTTCATTTTACCTGATGAAACCATGTTGATAAGTATCAGCAGCGAGCAAATCCTCGACGGTAATCTCTCTATTCAACGCCGATTTCACAGCTTTCCTGTGCCGGCGATCGATTCTGGCCTCGGCAAGATACAAAAACGCACGCGCCACCGCGAGGGTCGAAACGAGCAGCCAAGCCGCCGCGAAAAGCCGTCCTTCGAGCGTTTTAAACGCTCGGTCTCCGTACCCAACCGTCGTCACCGACATAACCGACAGGTAAACCGAATCAACGAGATCCAAACCCTCGACGAAATGCAAAACCAAGGCCCCGACTCCGACACACAAAACGACGACGCACAGCGCTAAACAAACTTTCATCCTTATCCTCATCCTTCCTTTCTCGAAATCGATGATGTAATCCTTCGCCGAGAACCTCTTGTGGTGGTGAGGATCTCTCGCCGAACCCATTTGGATTCCGGTGAGAATCATACTCTCTTGAAGATCCAAAACGTAATTGACAACGCCGCTAAGAAGAATATCCAGAAAGCCGAACCCGAACAAGACGAAAACCACGGCGAAGATCTTCGTCCATGGAGTCAACGGAGCGATGTCTCCGTAGCCGATCGTACACATAGTGACGATACAGAAATAGAGCGCGTCGACGACGGGATGAGTCTCGATTCCGGAGTAGTGATCTCGATTGAAAGAGTAGATTGAAACCCCTAGGGTTAAGTAGATGATTAGAAGGAAAATCGCTTGTTTGATAATCGATTTCGAGATTGGTGAAGGTATTTTGGTCTCCGAGGTTTTGGGTATTAGGTCTTTGATGATTACCATCGCCGGAGCTGTACGGCATCGGTGAAGTGGACGGTGGTTGGTGAAGTAGGAATCTGGGTATGTGTTGTCGTCGCCGTCGAGTTCGGATTGTTCGAGGTCGTGATGGTGTTGTTGTACAATCTCTTGGAAGAAGGAGGTGGTTGAGATTGAGTGGTGGATGGGGACGGTGGAAGCGGCGGCGGCGGCGAAGGAGTCTGGAATTTCCGGTATGGGTTCGAGGCGGAAACGTGATTGAGGACTGATTAAGGGTTGATTCTCCATTTCCCAAGAAATGAGGAATCTCAAACTCGATTGAAACAAAAAGATTGATTTGTTTCTTTTTTATTATCTGAAATTGTTTTCTCTTTGGCCAACAGAAAATTCCAAAAGGAAAAAAAAAAAGTTGATGTTTTTCGAAAAAAGGAGCCAAGAAGAAGTGTGATTGGTGTGCTTGGATGAGTAGTAACTTATAGGCTTTTGTAGCGTGGGGGCCTACATGCCACGTATGAAAACTGAATATATATGCGTTACAAAGATTGATTTTTTGAATTTTTTTTTTGTTTTAAAAGAATATAAAGAATGATTTTTTAGATTTTAAAGTACTTTTTTATTAATTAATGTTAAGAAATTGTAAACTTTAAATTTTTTTAACTAAAATGATTTAAATTCTTTAATTGCTATTGGATATTATTTATTGAAATATAAAAAATAATATATTAATAATTAAACATTAATTATATTTTAATTTGTAGGAAAAACTCAAAACATCGAGTTTTTAGGAAAAAAGAAAGTATTAATTTTAAAATATGAAAAAGTAACATATTAATATTAATAATTAAACATTAATTGTATCTTAATTTGTGTGAAAAGCTCAAAACATCAAGTTTTCAGAAATGGAGAAAGTACTTTTTATGCTATATTATGTATAAGATGATTAATGAAGTTTATATTCCCTCTATTTTGGAATGTAGATTTTTAGATGTTTCACACATATTAGGAAAACAATGATTATTTGCTTTTCTAAAATATTTTTTGTTTGTTTATTAACTAGGTGTCCCGTCCGCGTGTTTGCGCGGGCATATAAAGATTAAATAGCTTTGATAAAAAAACAAAATATAAATTTTATTAATTATGAATTACGTTAATATATATAAAATTAGACTATTTCTACTAATAATTGTCAACTTGGTATATATAAATTTATATACATTAGGTCACATAGTTAGAGATCTGTTTTGAAATTTACAAAATGTTCATTTTTCATGTAAATTTATGGTTATTAGTGAAATCAAGCCTTATGTTTCTTCTTTAGATATCAAAGTATCATCAGATAACAATTACCTTAAGGCTATTTTTTTCAAGGAATATATAGAGTAAAAAACTAAGTAAACGATAAGTTTCCATATGCTTGTGGCCATTAGTGAAGTAAAGTTCTTGTTTTTTCGTATTCATATTATATTTTCACCAACTACAAAGATTTTACCTCAAAGTTGAGATTTTTAAGAATCAAAAGTAAAGCATTCATATTACATACACCAAATACAAAATTTTATCTCGAAATTGAGATTTTTAAGAATTATAAGTAACTGCCTCTTCTCTTCTTCACCGTAGTTCTTCTCTCTACTCGCTTGACCCAAAGCTCTCTTCTTTCCACTATGTTAAAAAGAATGAATCTTCCTATACTTATGCATTCACAATCATCTCACGATTCTCACCATCTAAAACAGCAACTCTTGTAGCTTCTCATTCTCGATAACTCTCTTTCACTTCCACATGATCGTTGCTTATTCCATGACCTCCTCACGCAAAGGAACATGTGGAAGACCAAAAGATTTGTAACCGTGTTGTTGCAAAGATTCATAGTCGAAAGCTCTCTTAACTTTCTCTACTTGTCATTTCTCCTTCCCATATAGTCCTCATTAGAATTAGATAACGATGACTCCTTGGATAAGTCATCATTATCATTATCATCCCATCGCATCATACCTTTCTTCACGGTAAGGAATGTTATAACTCTAACAAAGAAAAGAATCTCCGTTAATCCAATTTACAAAATAGATGTTTTAAAAAAAAATAATGATCTAATATACGTAAGAGAAGCTTATGCTGCAAGTATATCTAATAAAACAAAGAGTGTTCTATATACAAAACATAAATGCACCCAAGTAATCGATGGCTGCACATATATCAATGTGTGTTAATTGTAAATATTGAATGTTTAATCAGATTGCTGCATTGTCTCTACAAATTATTTGCATCACAACACCCCCAACGTTACCTTGACATTTTTTCGACAACCTCTGTGTTAGTTGTTCATTACTAAATCAATTCCAATAAATCATATCTGAGTCTCCGGATAATGTCAAATAAAACGTGTTTTCTTCCTTCTTCGAGGAAAAAAAGATAGCCTTCCTCTTTGCACCTTAAAAAAAATCCAGAAGAATTCTCGCATTTGCATAACTGAAATGCCTTTTAAGACTCTTCGACCAAAACAAAACAAAACAAAAAAATGAATATCCAGATTTGGGACAATTTGTTTTCTTCCAGAGAACCAATCTTTAGCTTAAGATCTTAAGCATATCCTTACAAACATCACTATTAAATTTGTCTTAGCTGTCACTTGATACACTTGTCATTGGATTTAGCATCAATAAACATCAGAGAAAAACTGTAAGAAAATAAAAAAAAAACTTAAATCTTTCACAGAAGCTCACTTTTAATTATAAAGGCATATACACCAATTCCTACTCCAATTTCACAAGCTTTATTGGCGATTATCTGTTACCATCATTTGACGTATAAAGAATAAAAATTTCAAATTTCTAAAACTTATATCGAATATCGTAGCAATCGATAGAGAACAATACACAGAATAATCAAATAAGAAGAAAACCACTAAAGAAAAAAAGATAGCATAAATATTAAAATCATCTTTTGAAAACCATGTAGCAATTTATAGATCAATTCAAACCTACATCTCATACCAAAGCATGTATTTTTAATACCTACATTGATCAAAAAAAAAAGTGAGAAATCAGATAAAATATTGACGACAACATAAAACACATATAAAGATCAATGAACCATTTTTATATGAACATAAGAACATATACCAGAATTATATCCACATGCTCTCAGACCATGATCGTTGGATCCTAACAAAATATAGAAGAACAAATCAGAACCTTAAAATAAACTAAGAATAATAGATAAAATATTATCACAAACATATAAAATCATAAATTCCACAATCAATACTGAGGGGAATTAAAAGTATATTTAAACGAACTCTAGGTAAATAAACATATAATAAAAATCTACAAAACCCAAATAAGAAAAAAAAGCGATGTCAATTTGTTAATAAAATGTCAAGATGTTTATATAAAAAAAAACTTAGGCATGGGTTTCACTATTATGTTTCCATTTTTTCTTTATAGATAAATATAAAATTGAGTTTATCATATATTTATTAAACTTTCTACTTTTTACATTTTTTTCTAGAATTTATAGGGTATTTCCTTTGTTCTATATAGACGTCACATATTTATTATTTTTCAAACTTTAAATGTGTATAATTTTTAAATAAATCAATTATTTTATTAAGAATATATTAAATCAATTCATATGAAGGATAAAGTGTAATCAACCACAATAACTTTTAACCACAACCCAACTTGCTTCTCAATTAATAATCGAATTTATTATATATTTATTAAATTTTCTACTTTTTACATTTTTTCTAAAATTTATAGAGTATTTATTTTTTTCTATATATACGTTACATATTTATTTTTTTCCAAAATTTAAATGTAAATAATTTTTAAATAAATCGATTATTTTATTAAGAGTATATTAAGTCAATTCACATGATGAATAAAATGTAATCAACCACAATAACTTTCAACCACTGTCCAATTTACTTCTCACTTAATAATAAAATTTAATACTGATTTTTTATATTTTTTACCTAAAACGCTGTCTTGAAAAATAAAACATATTAAATATAATATAGAAAATCAAAAGTCTTAACAGTATTTGATTGACTTAATTAATCTAAATCACTTGTTAAACAAAACATAACATGTTTAGTTTTAGTTCCATTTGATAGATTTACCCACCCGTCCAGAGGATCTAACTTACATGAAAACCGCCACCGTGAAAACGACCAAGTTAAAGGAAAAGCAGAAATTAGTCGACCCCATGATACAAGAATATTGATGATATTTTCATATTTTGTGTTATGTAGTTTATTCTCAAAACAATATCAGCCACTTAAATACTACAGTCGAGCAAAAAATTTTTTTATTTTTTTTTCGAAATTCTGGTGCAACAATAGTTTATAGGAGCACTTTAAGAAATATTATCTGACAACCAGAACAATAAAATATATTACATGATGAAAGTTATGAATTCGCCTCTCAACCTTTGTTTATCTCATCTTAAGTTAATATTTATCTTATACCTCGTTAATTTAGTCCCTTCGCTATTTCTGTTTTTGTGATATTTCATATGTTTTAATTAAGATCTTCCAATATTGGCTTTTCCAGGCTCTGTGTTCATTGTTGATGCTTGTAGGTCATTTCTCTAAGAAGATCCAGGTCACAAGGAGATGAAGAAGGGGAAGATCGACGAACTCATTTGATCCTTCTGAGATTATTCGGATGTGTGTTTTTGATGATCGTTGGTTGGATCGGAGCAATTTGAAACGGTGAGTTTATTATTGTTTGGTGATCTCAGGTCACAATAGGCCTTCGATGATCAATAATGCTGACGTCGTCGCCGTCGTGAAGAACTGTGTGATGGCGGAGAAAGGAACATTTAGGGGAAGAGTTGCCAAAAGAAGAAAGTTTGATTTATTGAGTCTTATTTTTTCTTGAGCAACAAGCTATATACAACATCGGTCGTAAACGACGTCGGTTTTCAGAATTTAACCCGTTACGTTAATTTTTTCACTTCTTTTGGAGAGATTCCGGAACCGACGTCGTTTACTGCCACGTCATGCAGTGTGCTGGCAGTAGATTTTTAACCAATCAAATATTACGATTACGCCAACAAGGCACCACCCACTGTAAGTGGAATGACCAAGAGTTGTAGCTTCACTGTTAAAATTTACGATACTGCCACGCACCGAGTTAAAGAAAATGAGGGTAGGAAAAAAATAAAAAACCAAGAGGGGAAAATGGAGACTTGTGAGATCGTAAGCTAGGATTCAATGCGAGTCAAAAATCCGTCCACGAATCCACAGTTTCTTCCCAATTTCTCGAATTATCTCTCCTCTGATTAGGGTATCTCAGTTCTCACTCCCGCTTCTGCGTCAGATTTCTGTTTGTTTGCCCTAAATTCTCTGCCAGATTTTGCGATTTGCCTTTCGCGGCGGGTTGGTTTCAGCTGATAAACACTTGCGGCGGATTTGGGGATTGTCGGTGATAGAAAATCGGGACTGGTAAGTCGATTTTATCGAACAAGAACTGTTGATTGTAGATTAGTATCAGCTAAAAGGATAATTTCGCAAATCTCCTCTGTATTTTGTTCGAACTTTGTTTTTTTTTTTGATATTTTAGAGCTTGGATTGTAATTGTTTGTTGAAACTCTCTGCAGGTTCTTGATCTGGATTTGATCTGGGTACAGTTCAAAGCTGTTCAGCTTGTAGATTTGTGATCTTACTTTGTTGCTATCGAGCTCGTTAAGTAGAAGCTTGGTATCAGAATGGCTAATTTACCGCAGAGATCGGTTAAGCACCCGGGCACACTCACTCCATTAGAACCAGATAGACCATCGCCACAGCCAGATAGAGCCCCAGTCCCTCACTCTCCTCCAGTGGTAGCTTCACCTACACCTCCTCGGTATCCTCAGCCAAGTTTCAGACCTGATCAGATTCCGATGAAATCCCCAAGCCTGTTGTCACCGTCGAACAACGGTGTGAGAACGGGAAGCCCCGTTCCTCGTATGAGTACTCCGCCTGGTCCTCCAGTCTTTCATACTCCTGTCAAACCAGCCGCCGTGCCTTTCCGTACCTCTCCAGCTACTCCTCAGCCCATGGCGTACTCTTCGGCCACGGCTTCTTCTCTTCCCGTTTCTACGCCTTCCTATTACTCAAACGGGTCGTCAGCTGGATCGCAGCCGGATGTTGTTAGAATGGAGGAGCCAGTAGCTGCAGACTCACCTTACGTTTTGTTTTCTGCAAATAAGGTATCTTTCTTATCCGTTTTAGCTTCACATTTGGCGTTTTTTTGTTTCATCTTATCCTAGTTTCACTTGCTACTTGTTATGTAGGTTTTAAAGCAGAAGAAGCTAGCAAACGTTGCGAGCTTGGGTTTTGGAGCTATAGTTTCTGCGGGGAGGGAGATTAGTCCTGGTCCTCAGATTATCCAGCGTGACCCACATCGCTGTTTGAACTGTGGAGCGTATTCGAATCCCTACAGCTCCATATTAATTGGCTCAGGCCAGTGGCAGTGCGTCATCTGCGAGGACATGAACGGAAGTAAAGGTGAGTATGTGGCTTCGAGCAAGGATGAGTTGAGAAGCTTTCCAGAGCTTTCATTGCCGCTGGTCGATTATGTTCAGACGGGAAACAAGAGACCTGGGTTTGTTCCCGCCTCTGATTCTCGGACATCTGCGCCTGTCGTCCTTGTCATTGATGAGTGTTTAGATGAACAACACCTTCAGCACTTGCAGAGCTCTTTGCATGCATTTGTAGACTCGCTCCCACAAACTACCAGGCTTGGGATTGTACTGTATGGTCGTACTGTTTCCATATATGATTTCTCTGAAGACTCCGTAGCTTCAGCCGATGTTATCTCCGGCGCAAAATCACCGTCTGCTGAGTCGATGAAATCGCTGATTTATGGGACCGGTGTATACCTGTCACCGATGCATGCATCACTAAAGGTAGCACATGAGATATTCTCGTCCTTAAGACCATACGCAATGAATGTACCTGAAGCATCTAGAGATAGGTGCCTTGGAACTGCTGTTGAGGCCGCTCTGGCTATAATCCAAGGACCATCAGCAGAAATGTCTCGGGGAGTGGTCAGAAGAGCAGGAGGTAGCAGTAGAATCATTGTTTGCGCTGGTGGACCCGTTACATATGGTCCTGGATCAGTGCCTCATTCCATGAGTCATCCAAATTATCCGTACATGGAGAAGACGGCGATAAAATGGATGGAGAATCTGGGGCGTGAAGCTCACAGGCACAATACGGTCGTCGACATTTTGTGCGCTGGAACCTGTCCTCTCAGAGTTCCTATCCTGCAGCCACTTGCAAAAGCTTCAGGCGGTGTTTTGGTTCTTCACGATGATTTTGGTGAAGCCTTTGGTGTGGACCTGCAGAGGGCGGCCACTAGGGCAGCGGGTTCACATGGTCTGCTTGAAGTTCGGTGTTCGGATGATATCCTTATAACTCAGGTGATTGGACCTGGCGAAGAAGCACATTCAGAGACTCACGAGACGTTTAAGAGTGATGCGGCTCTCTGTATTCAGATGCTGAGCGTTGAAGAGACACAAAGCTTCTCTCTCTCGATGGAGAATAAGAGGGACATCAAAAGCGACCACGTCTTTTTCCAGTTTGCGTTCCATTATTCGGACGTTTATCAAGCCGATGTGTCTCGGGTAATTACTTTCAAATTGCCAACTGTTGATAGTATCTCAGCGTATCTTCAGAGTGTTGAGAACGAGGCTGCTGCGGTTCTCATCTCCAAGAGAACTCTTTTGATAGCGAAAAGCCAGAAAGACGCAGTCGACATGCGTGCTACGGTAGATGAAAGAATCAAAGACATTGCATTGAAATTCGGATCACAAGTGCCGAAATCAAAGCTTCATAGCTTCCCCAAGGAACTATCTTCCCTTCCAGAACTCCTCTTCCATCTTAGGAGGGGTCCTCTGTTGGGAAACATCATTGGTCATGAAGATGAAAGGTCGGTGCTGCGTAATTTGTTTCTAAACGCATCTTTCGATCTGTCCCTTCGAATGGTAGCGCCACGTTGCTTGATGCACCAAGAAGGCGGTACGTTCGAGGAACTACCAGCGTATGATCTCTCCATGCAATCAGATAAGGCCGTTATTCTCGACCATGGCACAGATGTATTTATTTGGTTGGTAAGGTTTCTCTTGTATTCATTCAGTGGCTTTATAATGTTCATATCCAAATCATTCAGTGGCTTACAATGTTTTTTTTGTGGTCGATTTTAGGGAGCCGAACTGTCTGCTGATGAGGTGAAGAGCGCTGCGGTTTTAGCAGCCTGCAGAACGCTGGCTGAAGAACTAACCGAGTTCCGGTTTCCAGCACCGCGCATTCTCGCATTCAAGGTTCCGTTGATATCTCTCAGAATCTCAATACACATTTCCCATTGAAACGAAGCTAATATCTTGTGGACATTGTTGTTGTGTGTATAATCAGGAAGGAAGTTCCCAGGCTAGGTACTTTGTTTGCAGGCTTATACCAGCGCACAAAGATCCTCCTTATGAGCAGGTCAAAGATTGAAAATCATGATTTCTGGGAGCTTGTTTCATTGATTGCGTTTTCTTCTTCTGAATCCAATTTTTGTGTACAGGAAGCAAGATTTCCACAGGTTAAAACGTTGACGACGGAGCAAAGAATAAAGCTAAAGAGTAGTTTTATAGATTTTGATGAAGCCAGTTTCTGCGAATGGATGAGGAATCTGAAAGTAGTGCCTCCTGAGCCCAGGTAGAAAGAGAGATTTTAATCTTCTTCATTGTTCTGCCTCCATCTCTTCTCTTTTGTATTTTTTTCGGGATGCTACTGTATTGAGTCTTTTGTTTTTAGGATTTCTCTTTTTTTTTTAATATATGGTCTCCACTCCAGTGTTCTGAGAATTGAATTATATATACTTTTGTTATATAACAGCAAAATAAAAGTCTAGTCTAGTCTAGTGATGATGACCGCTATTTTTGTTTTTTTCTAACATTTTACAGTCGATGTTTACCCGCTCTCACTATGATTGTTCATTTCTTTGTTTTTTGGTTATGGGATAAGTTCATTCTTAATCTGCTGTTGTTATTGGTAACACCGCATAATCATGGAAATTAAAAACATAATGCTGAGTTAAGAAGATCTGGATTCAAATTCAATAAGCATGAATTGTAACGATAAAAACAAATAAAGCATTATGTGAAAAGAGAGTAGACCAAGCAAGGGCCAAGGAAACAAACATGGTGACGTGGCAAACAGAAGGTTATCCACCAGAAATTGAGTTTAGGGGTATAAATGTAATTTTGATCACCTTATCCCCAACGTCTCAATTCTCTCTCTCTCTCTCGTGCTCTTCACTGGGCGACACACGAAAACCGGAAACGTCATTCGAGTTTTCGGGTTTTTGTTTTCTAGCCGGACTGTTGTCGCTCCCGCCGGCAATTCTCCCGGCTCGCCGTCGAAGATGGTGTCTCCACTCTGCGACTTTCAGTTACTAAACCACCGTCCTTCGATCTCACCTGCATCTTCTCAGTTCGTGATCGCGGAGGGAAAACTCCTCCGGCAGAATCGTCTTCTGAGCTCTTCGCCGTTTTGGGGCGCCAAATTCGGAAACGGATTCAAGTTAGGGTTATCCGGATGTAGTAGCTGCTCTCGGCGGAGGAGCACGAGTGTGAGTGCTTCATTAGGTGGTCTTCTCAGCGGGATTTTCAAGGGTACTGATAACGGAGAGTCGACGAGGCAACAGTACGCAGCAGTCGTCGCCTCCGTTAATCGCCTGGAGACTGAGATTTCAGCTCTCTCTGATTCCGAATTGCGGGGGAGGACTGATGCGCTAAAGCAGCGGGCTCGTCAAGGAGAATCCATGGATTCACTTCTGCCTGTAATTTTTTTTCAATCCTTCGTTTCAGGTTTTGTGGTTTAACACCAAATTCTTTGCTTCAACTGTGGAATTTCAATTTCCAATTGCAGGAGGCATTTGCTGTTGTGAGAGAAGCTTCCAAGAGAGTTCTTGGACTCCGACCTTTCGATGTGCAATTAATAGGTAACACAGTTCTTTGTGGACTGTCATTGTTAAGATTGTTGAGTCAACTCTCTACTTTGGTTTAATTGCAGGTGGTATGGTTCTTCATAAAGGAGAAATAGCAGAAATGAGAACTGGTGAAGGAAAAACGCTTGTGGCCATTTTACCAGCTTATTTGAATGCGTTAAGTGGGAAAGGTGTTCATGTGGTCACAGTCAATGATTATCTTGCTCGAAGAGATTGTGAATGGGTTGGTCAAGTTCCTCGGTTCCTTGGATTGAAGGTTGGTCTGATCCAACGTATGTCCTCTTTCTCTGAACTTCTCTCTTTTCTTTTCTTCGTCTCTTGATAATAGGCAAACACTAACTTCCAGATTGTGAATCATTCACGTACTTTGTTGCTTTTGCAGAGAATATGACACCTGAACAAAGAAAGGAAAACTATTTATGCGACATCACATATGTCACCAACAGTGAGCTTGGATTCGATTATCTGAGAGACAATCTTGCCACGGAAAGTAATTCTTGCTTTATTTTTCTCTTTTCATTCTGGACTATATGAATTTTCTTTTGAATGTCCTTGCTGAGTTAGTTACTGATTGTACAGAGTGTGGAGGAGCTCGTCTTGAGGGATTTCAATTATTGTGTAATTGATGAAGTTGATTCCATACTTATTGATGAAGCAAGGACTCCTCTCATTATCTCTGGACCTGCAGAGAAACCTAGCGACCAGTATTACAAAGCTGCAAAGATTGCTTCAGCCTTTGAGCGTGATATACATTACACTGTAAGGCTCCTCGGTTATTCCTTTTGTTGTGTGAAATTATTAGGTGGGGTTGGCCATCCATCTTCCAAATTCTAACTGCTCACTGAGTTTTTTGGTGTTGCAGGTTGATGAAAAGCAGAAGACTGTTTTACTAACGGAACAGGGTTATGAGGATGCAGAAGAAATCCTGGACGTGAAAGATTTGTATGATCCTCGTGAACAATGGGCGTCATACGTTCTTAATGCCATTAAGGCAAAAGAACTTTTTCTCAGAGATGTGAACTATATCATCCGAGCAAAGGAGGTTCTTATCGTGGATGAGTTTACTGGTCGTGTAATGCAGGTACTTGTTTCATATTGTTTGCTTATTGATGCGGTCTATTCATCTTAATAAGAAAGAATTATCAATATTCATCAATTTTAGTGATCCCAGTGGCTACGGCTGAGAAAAACTCTCGGGCCACTAGAAAAACATAGACAAAAAAAACAGTCCTGTACGTAGTAATCCACTGAATAAGTTGTCTCGTTTGCAGGGAAGACGTTGGAGTGACGGACTACACCAAGCAGTTGAAGCAAAAGAAGGCTTGCCAATTCAGAATGAATCTATTACACTGGCATCAATTAGTTATCAAAATTTCTTTCTGCAGGTTGGTAAATGCCTACTTTCTACTTTTTGAACAAAGTTACTATGAGATTGTAATGCTCAATTTCTTCTATGGCGTAGTTCCCTAAACTTTGCGGGATGACTGGCACTGCATCGACCGAGAGTGCAGAATTTGAGAGCATATACAAGCTGAAAGTTACAATTGTACCCACAAATAAGCCCATGATAAGAAAGGTTTGTCTCATATCTTATGTTTTGAACCTGCACCTCAAAATTCAGACTGGTGGCTCTTCGGATTTGATCTCCATCGAAAGACCTAAAATGCGAGCTTGTAGGCCTTCTAACGAGATCTGTTAAAATGAGAAAATGTTAAGCATTCCTGCTAGTTCTGAAATCACTTGTATGCTGTATCAGCTTTCAATTTTGGTGTTTTGTCTGCTCAAACAAAAACGTTTATCTATGAGAGTCTAATACCTTGTTCAACCACTTGCAGGATGAGTCAGATGTGGTTTTCAAGGCAGTCAATGGAAAATGGCGGGCAGTAGTAGTGGAGATTTCTAGAATGAACAAGACAGGTAGGGCTGTGCTAGTTGGTACAACCAGCGTCGAGCAAAGTGACGAGCTATCTCAACTATTGCAGCAAGCTGGAATACCTCATGAGGTAAGGCTTTCATGTGTTTTTTGAAAAAAAAAATCTTCAACGTGTATCTATGCAAAACTAAATCCCAAGACTATGCTCCGTTAGTTTTTAGTCCAAAAAAATATTTGGCAACTAAACAAATGATGCCTAGAAAGAAAAACCAATTTGTAAAACTGAAACAAATAAGATTAATCGAATCTTTCAATAAGGGTTTAAAGATTCTCAGATTATATACAGGAAAACTGACAGATGATGTTATATATATGCTGTACAAAAAGGTCCTCAATGCAAAACCAGAGAAAGTGGAGAGGGAAGCTGAAATTGTAGCACAAAGTGGTCGTTTAGGGGCTGTAACAATTGCCACAAATATGGCAGGGCGTGGGACAGACATAATTCTTGGTGGAAACGCAGAGTTTATGGCACGTTTGAAGCTCCGTGAGATACTTATGCCCAGGTATCATAGCACTTTAGGATGTAATTAAGATTTAAGCCTCTATTTATATATTTTGTGCACATCAGATAGATCCTTTATCCAGCCTTGATATAATTGCTACAGGTTATGTACATTGTTTGACGAAGAATCTTGGAGTTCATAGTTTTTTTTACCTAAAGTTTTCTGACATTTGACTGTTACTACAGAGTGGTAAAGCCTACTGATGGTGTTTTCGTATCTGTGAAGAAGGCCCCTCCCAAGAGGACGTGGAAGGTTTGGCCTTTTCAGAGTCTCTGGTTTTGGTTTAAAGCAGTAGATTCTAATGGTTACACCAAGCTAAATAGACAGAAAAAATTACGGTGCAGGTAAATGAGAAGTTATTTCCATGCAAATTGTCAAATGAGAAAGTAAAGCTAGCAGAGGAAGCTGTACAATCAGCTGTAGAGGCTTGGGGCCAGAAATCGTTAACTGAGCTTGAAGCAGAGGAACGTCTATCTTATTCTTGTGAAAAGGTAACTGAGAAATCCTGGAACTCTATCTTGATGTGTTGAGAGATAGAGCTTATCTGAGTCATCGATCTTTTCCCTTTTCCACAGGGTCCTGTCCAGGATGAAGTCATTGGTAAATTGAGGAAAGCATTTCTTGAGATAGCGAAAGAATATAAGGGCTTTACGGATGAAGAAAGGAAAAAGGTTGGGTCTATTACAGCAGAGCAGTATGTGAATCTCAGTCAAGTTTCTGTTGTTTATCTTTCATTGTCCTGGATTACTGCAGGTCGTGGAAGCTGGTGGACTCCACGTGGTTGGGACAGAGCGACATGAATCACGCCGAATAGACAATCAGGTTTCCTTATAATGTTTGTTTCCAGGAGATTTATGTTTGATTTTAATCTTCTTTTCCAGTGGCATAATTTTTCCTGAGTTTGTTTTGTTCTCTCATACAGTTGCGTGGGCGAAGTGGCCGGCAGGGGGATCCTGGTAGTTCCCGGTTCTTCCTTAGTCTTGAAGATAACATATTCCGCATTTTCGGGGGAGATCGGATTCAGGTGACTGTTTGTATCTATATGGTAATATTCGTTCTTCTGGAGAATTATCGCCTGAACGTAGTTGCCATTCAACTCTTAGGGTATGATGAGAGCATTCAGGGTGGAAGACTTACCGATCGAATCCAAGATGCTTACTAAAGCTCTAGATGAAGCTCAGAGAAAAGTCGAGAATTACTTCTTTGACATCAGAAAGCAATTATTCGAATTTGACGAGGTTCTCAATAGCCAAAGAGATCGTGTTTACACAGAGAGGAGGCGTGCTCTTGTGTCAGACAGCCTCGAGTCTCTGATTATCGAGTATGCTGAACTGACGATGGATGACATCCTAGAGGTAAGCCAGTAAAACAAGTTCTTTATTCCCTGAGTCTGTTCTATATACCAACAATTGAAACTCCGGTTTAACCATTTATAGGCGAATATTGGCCCTGATACTCCAAAAGAAAGCTGGGATCTTGAAAAGCTCATCGCCAAAGTTCAGCAGTAAGAATTATGTATCTCTAAGAGAAAAAACATTCCACATAGATAATCACAACTTCCAATTTGTTTAAGCTAACTTCCAAATTCCAAATCTCCTCTTAGGTACTGTTATCTGTTGAACGATCTCACTCCGGATTTGCTGAAAAGCCAAGGATCAAGTTATGAAGGATTGCAAGATTATCTCCGTGCCCGTGGCCGCGATGCATACTTGCAGAAAAGAGTAAGCTAGATGGTTCTAAGCCTTTTTTCCCCCACATTGGTATAAGAGATACTAATAGAAGCTGCGTTGTTTTTGGCTGACTTAAAGCTTGTTTTTGATTCTCAGGAAATCGTGGAGAAAGAAGCACCAGGACTAATGAAAGATGCTGAACGGTTCTTAATCTTGAGCAATATTGACCGGTTATGGAAAGAACACCTTCAAGCACTCAAGTTCGTTCAACAAGCTGTCGGGCTTAGAGGATACGCGCAACGGGATCCACTCATTGAGTATAAGCTCGAAGGATACAATCTATTTCTGGAAATGATGGCTCAAATACGAAGAAATGTTATATACTCCATATATCAGGTTCTTGCACTAATTCGAAATCTCTACTTCTCCCACATACATTCCTTCGTTCACCTTTTGATTCTTTTCTTCTTTTTACTACTCGGGCAGTTTCAACCAGTGATGGTAAAGGACCAAGAGAAGAAGTCTCAGAACGGGAAACCAAGCAAACAAGCGGATAAGCCTAACCAAGTCGGTGTAGCAGATGAGCCATCCTCAGTCGCGAGCGCCTAAGACCGGTAAAATGCAAAATCTTTTTGGGTACAGCAGCGGGAAATCGTATTTAGAGTGGATACATAATACATTGAAAAAAAACTGGAATCTCTGAAATTGTTGTCAATCTTATTATTTATCTTGTATATACTACAACACTGAGAAAAGAGGATCACAACAAAACCACAGATGAAAGAAACTTCCTTTCTCCTTACAGGGATCAAGAGTCTCTTGGAAGAATCTGTGAGAGTATCAGGTTGAGATCGTTTGCTCTGGCCTTGACGCCAATGGCTAGAGCAGTCTTGAGCTTAACCAACTCTCCTAATCTGAGAGAGGCTCGTTTGTTGTCTCTGATATAGAGAACCGGAACGTTCCTTGAAGCAGCTAAGTTCGGGATATGCTTGGTTAGCATCCTCGGTTTACAATCTGCTACTACTATCACTACCTGTTGTGTGATTTGGAAACAAAAAACATCTCTATTAAATCACTAAAAGGCCTTTTGCTAAATATGAGATCGTCGTCGAACCTGAAGTTGAACCGGAGGCTGCCTAAGTTTTTGTTGATGGTCAACAGTGTTTGGTTTCATCCTCTCAAGAACACGCGTGACTTCGTTTATCCCAATCGCTATTTGTTGCTGATTATTTTCACATTTTGATAGCACAAATAATCAGATGCCTTGAGAAAGAGAGAATGAAAGAAAAAAAGCCAATAGCAAAGAGTAATATGTAAACCTTAAGCCACATCTTCTCAGGTAATGACTTCACATTCGAAAGCTTCGACGTCTCGATTCCTCTAAGTTACGGAAGACAAGTTTAACTGATATGTACACTGAGAGATATGTGATGGGTTTTTACTAGAGTGTTGTTACCTCTGAATCAAGCCGAGGAGATGAGTTAGACTTTCGCCTTCGTAGTAACTACAAATACGAACCAGAGAAAATCGATATACTCAAGAGATTGAATTTAAAAACTAAAAAGGGTTTCTATGTACATAAGAGAAAAGGAAGAGAATTAGGTTACTCTGATTCTTTGACGGAACTCGCATCAGCTTCTATCTTCTGAGGGTTTATTGGTGTGGCGCCTCTCATCTGTGTCGTTTTAGTCGTTTGTTGCACACCAAATACCCACTGAGATTACATAAGGTCTTTTTGGTAATTAGCAAAACACCTTAATATTTTTTTTTTTTTTTTAAGTTGGTTTCTTTAAAACGGCGTTATCACTAGAATGCTCATTCAACGACTGTTTATAGAGTTTCCGGAGCCGGAGCTCACTGAAGAAGATCCAAGTATCCTGCCTACTTCACATAGCAAGAAGAAGAAGGTGAGATGCGAGGTTTTGGATTTGGTGGGAAAACAATGGCGGTTCAATCTCGATGGCCGTCTCTGCGTCTCTGAGTTGAAGGGAGATTGTAAGCAAGACTTTTGGTGGATAGTTGAAGAAAAGTCATGGGAGAAGATCTTCTCGGTTGTATTGCATTCTACTTCCACTTGGTTTGGTAATATCACTTCGGAGCCACTCGCGCATTTGGCCATTTCAATGGACACCAACAAGGTCATCCTCTCGCTTAGCTATCATGATGACCTAGTTGCCTTTGATCTTGATCCTAACTCCACTGTTTATAATTTGTATTTCTCTGGCTACTATGGTTTAGCTGTTCCTTATTTCCCAAGTTTATTCCTCTCATTGAAACTCTAGCAATGCTTTATTAATCCAATAACTTTAACTGTACATGTATCAAAATGCACTTGCGTTTTTCCTTCACAGCTTAAAAAATAGCATTCAGAAAATTCCCCTGTTTTCTCTGTTTTTTTTTTTTTAACATTACCACTGGATTACCAAACTCAAAGTCATATCAAATTAGCCATATAATAACAACACTCACATCATGTTTAGAGACTCTTACAAACATGTAAATATTTTACTCAGTGGATATATCCTTCGAACTTACTCTAATTTCCCAAATGGGGACTCAAGAGCATGATCATCGACTAGCCATAGACCATACTCGTTGAAACGTTTCATCTTACTGTAGTAACCGACAATGTAGTTGTTGTGGATTATGACATGTTTCCCCTTTGTCTCTTTAACCCATGTCTCGTTCTCAAAATACAATCCTCCTGTTGGGAAAGCTGCCTGAGAAAGCAAGTAGAGATCCACCTTGTGCAAGAGAAGATCCCAAACGAGTTGAGGAAATTAATTTAAACAAGTGAAACTAATTACTAGTAGAAGATTACAGGAGTTATGAGTTAAATAATGACAGTCTTTTTGAGATTTTGAGCTTTAGTATCACCTGAACTCAACAATATACCTGATGAGCTGTTTTGTTAAGGGCCCAGTTAAAAGCAGGCTGGTCATTTCCTTCATATGCTTTAGACCCAGCTTGCAGTTCCTCAATCCATGTCTTCATGAGAAGCTTTGCTCCATTCGTGGGACGCAAGAAAATCATGCAGCTACATATATAAGTCACTCCGTTTTCATCCGGAGGTGGTAAATCATGAGAGTGATTCAAAGGCTTAATCTGGCACCCAAAAAGTTCAAACCAAGAATAAGATTTAATATAAGAAACACTCTAAAATGTGTGAATTCCACATACTTTAGTTCTATCATCGGTGAAGTATGCGTCGTGGTTTCCTTCTAATTGCTGAAACGGATCTTGCAGCCAGACCATATCTACATCGTTGTACATAACATTGTAACCTAGCTCCAAAATTTGCAAGAGATGTTTCGGCCTCCGTGATGTAAAATCGAAGAAACCCTAGATTGGTTGTGATGAGATTAGTTAAAAGATACAACAACTTCTTTGCTGATGATCATCAAATGAAGAAACAGGGGATACATAATCATTCTCAGTCTATATCAAAACCAGAAAGATAATATCATCAAAGTTCACAATCTTTTGTTATTCATAGGATCAGCTCAAAATCAAAACCCAAACCTCAGGGATCCTAGACAAACTTATGATGCAAGTTATAAGTAATATACAAAAAACACCTAAGTATGATGAAAACTTAATTAGTATTCAATCATCCAGATTGATGAACTGAAAACTTGGATCCGAAAGGTGAAACTGTATTGTACCGGGGAACCGAAATTGTGGGCGGTCCGAGAATCGAGCGCCGGAGGAATGAGAACGGCGTGACCAGGCCACTTCTTGTTAACCTTGTAAAGTGTGGCGTAGTCTTCGGCGATCACGAGGACTTTGTCTTGATGCTTCTGTCTAGAAACGCTAATCAACCAGTTGTTGAGGAAAGGCATGAAGGGGTAGCTAACGGCGCACACGATCACAGTCCCGTCTTTAGCGGTGAACTTGGCCGCTTGAGCGAGGGAGTAGTCGCGCCAGCTAGAAGAGCTTCTGTTTGGAAACGGGAAGAAGGGAGAACCTGTCCAGGGTAAGAATACACCAAAGAGAAGGAAGAGGACGAGGAGGAGGAGGAGAGAGATGGGACGTTTTGAGATTGAAGAATAAGAAAGAGGATAAGGAGAGAAAGAGCTTTGGATTGGACGCTGTTGTTGCGCCATTGTTGTAACAGAAGAGGAACACAATCGGAGAGAAGATAGACGTCGTTAATGAAAGTGGGAAAATATACAAAAAAAATGAGTCAACTCACTATTCAGATTAGGTAAAAGTAACATTTTCTTGGAGTGTAGACCAAGAAACTACCATGCGCTACCAACTGAAATAGACAAAGAATAAATGACTTTCAATACATATTTCACCTTTGTCTCTTTTAACAAGTTTGATCAAGTTAGCATTTCAATTACAGAGAACCCAAAACAAAAGTCATTTAGAATTTCAAATTCAACAACCGGTGTACGACTTTGGTGTCATCTTCATCAATAGATTCAATACCAATCACAAGCTCTTTGGCGGTCAATTTGATTAAGCACACTCATTTATTTCTCTCATTTTTTTTCTTTTTTATGTAGAAGTTACATCCACTCAATAGCTTTGAATAGTAGTATACTGCTTAAAACGGTCGTTGAATAGTTTTATCTGAATTGATTAGATTCCACAACTACAATTTCCACATTTCTTCACTGACTTTTCCAATGATGATGGATCAAGCCTTTAATCCGAATCCATCCACGGCTCATCAATGTTTAAGGACACGACATGGTTCCACTGACTCAAGGCTTGATGGTTCGTAATCAATATCAACACTTGGCTGCTCTGCATCAACAACACTTCTCAGTGAGTGATAGCATGGAGCAACATCAATCAAGACTTCGGTTCTTTAGGTCAACCGCAAAACCATACTCTTGGACGACAAGAAACCATGGAGGACCAGCAGCAATGGAATGTGTATTCTGGCATCTCATTAACAAAATATATATATACTTTGTATAAAGGTTTAACAAGAGGAGGCAAAAGTTTTAATCAGCTTTTTAAATATTTCTCAGAGACTGAGAACAACAACAACCCATAAATCAAGTAACAGAAATGATCATCAAAGCACCCCAAAAAAATAACACTTCGTTTTTCTTTTCTTTTTTCATCTTGGTGATGCTTCACTTCCATCTTGCTTTATCACAGAACACAAAACCTGTCTTGAGATGTAACTTTCGAGCTCCTTTGAGACTTCCGTTAGCTTCAAGTCAAAGTTACTCCTGTATTTTTGCTTCGGCGAGGGCACAGCGGAGGAAGAAGACCCTGAGAACCTTCTTCGTGGGCTAGAGAATTTCCCTGGTGAAACCTGAAGCTTGACTGCTGCAGATGTTGATGGTCGTAACACAGTCGTGTTGTTGTTACTGTCTGGATCTAGCAGCAGTCCGAACTTTGTCTCTAATGGAAGTGGCTTAAGCGAATCTTCTTCGGTCTCGGAAACTGGTTTCGGTTTCCTCAGCCTTTCCCTTGCCTTCTCAGCTGCTTGAAGAGCCTTTTCACTGCTCAGAGTGATCAGTTTCCATGGGTTTATGCTTACATGAAAACCCGGTTTCTTGTTGATCAGCGTGGAAGATGGTGAACGCTCTTCTCCTTCTATCTTTATAGATAGTCTCTTGTGCTGATTCTGTTTAAAGACATAATCTTTGAGAAAGTGGCAAGCAAAGAAAAAGCTTTGTTGAAAAAAAAGAGTTTTATATTCACCTCATCTGTTTTGCTGCACATGAACTTGGAGATAAACGTTTGTCTTGGTCTTTCAGGAGAATCAAAATCTGAGCTTTCATCTGAAGACGAATCTAATTCATCAAAAGCATCAACTTCTGCAAATTGATTCTCTTCCCTCATTGCTAATATATAGTCATATGTTCTCATCCCCTGGCAGATATTTGAGCACTTCTTAGTAGTCAAAAAGAAAGAAAATGTAAAACAGAGTAATCATTCTGCTATATGGACTATAAGAGTCACCTTTCTTATGAGAAGCACATGGAAGAAGAAAAGCTGCCCCATGGCTGCCGAACCATAGGCCGTTAACAAAACCAATATAACCTATAAGAACACAAACTTTAGAAGCGAGAAGAAGCTTGCATTAGATATCATGAGGAAGAAGCACAAAACCATACAGATATTGTAGCAAGAGCCCATCTAGGGAACTCTACATAAAGCCTTCTCTTTAATTCGGTCTCCATCCCTTTCTTGTCCACAAAACATCTGACAAATACGGCAATGGCTGTTCCACCTTCTATCATTAGCTGTTGCAACAACAACAAAAGAAGCCAGTCAATTTTTCCATTGTTTCAATGTTTCTGTTTCAAGTAGTTGAAAAAAGGGTCAATACACACCATGAGCAAGACGAAAACCATCAGGAGTATGAAGGTGGTGTAGTTCCTTTTCCCAACGCAGTTATTGAGCCACTGAATATACCAAAAAAAAGCTTATGTATAGATCCAATACAAGTAAAGATTCTTAGTGGAGAGAAAAAAAAACTTACCCTGCAATGGTGATCAAACCCTTCAACACACCGGTTACACGTCCTGCAATGCTTACTGCTGCGTTTAACCTTAAACACAACACACAAAGAAACGTCAAAAGAAAGTCTTACTAGCACACAATGTGGTATTACTGCACAAAAGAATTATGGCAAACCTCTAAATCACAAAGTGAGCAATAAGAGATATCGTCTTCCTCTTTAGGGTCTGGTGTAACAGCGTCATCTTTCATGACAAGTGGAAACTGAAGAAGCGGCTCTAGCTGCACGCTGCTACTCCACGGATCCAGATACGTGCGTCTGATGAACTTCCTCAGGATCTTCCTCTCTAACCTCCTGAAAAACCTCACAACAACTTGGCTCAACACAACCTTGAACCTCAGCTTCATCAAGACTGCATTTGATTTCGCCCTTCTCTTTCTCCTAGCACTAGTCTTGTCCGTAGGATCAATCGCAGTGCACCTAACGAACAAAACTATAACCGAAGCCGCCTGTGAAAGGAGAAAAAAACTCAGCACATTGTTCCTCAAGATTAAACAAATGCAGCAACTTCTTGATCTTGCTCTTACTCACCACGAAAGAGAAGACCGAAAGAATTGTGATGATAGCTATTCGATTCCCCAGGAAGAAGCCGATGAATACATAGAATGCTGCAACAAGAACACTATATATAACAGCTCCTACAATCTGCACAAAGCAGTACACGGCTCAATCTCGTAATCAAACTCCAAAAAGATGAGAACTTTGCTTCAGAGAACTCGATTTCATCCCAAATTGAGATTTCTTAAGGAGAATCCAAGTTTGAAACCACCAACAAAAGAGAAAACACTGATTCAGCTCAAAATCGAGAGAGATTCTAAACATAGAAACTGTATATGGATCGAATCAAGGTGAAACTGAAGGCCGAAAACGGGAATTAAGAAACCTATCAACGGATAAAAATTGAAAGAATCAGAAGAGATTGATGAGTTTTTGATTTGAAAAACCTGTAATGGATGAAATGGGCGTTGCCAGCCATGGCGTCGTCTCGTCATGTTAACTCCGACGGAGGATTTTAGAATTTACAGATCTTTACAGTAAAGAAAACCCTAATAGATCTTACTCAAAAACTCCATGGCAGCTTGTCTCAGCTTTGGAAAAATTACAGAACAGGTTTGGTTTTTATTCTCGGTATTAATATAATTAATAATGCGTGTTGATTTTTTTCTTTTTCTTTTGATTTTGTTTTTTTGGTTTCTAGTTGAGGATGATGATACCCCAAGTACCAACGGTCGGGTTTTTCAAAATTTGAAGTGACGCTCGGATCTACTTTACTCATCGGACGGCTATTGATATTTCAGCCTTTTAGCGTGACTCTTTCAAATTGGCCCATTTATGTTTTCAAACAACTTTGGGCTTATATTGGTTTCTTCTTCTTTTTTTTCTTCATTTTATGGGCCTTCATTTTGTGGGCTTTTTCATATACGGAAGAACCTTAGATTAGAAACTTAGGAACCAGATCATCGTAGGACATCTAACCGGAGCATAGTATAGGTTTAAATTAAACTCCATTAGATGAATCTTTTACCATGTGCTATTAAAAGATCAACGAGATCGATTATAACTGAATCAAGATGGACGAGAATAATTAGGAGATCGAAATTATTAAAAAAAAATTAGATTTGACATTATATTAGAAAAAAATAATTATCTTTATTTTAAATATATTTCTTCTATATTAGTTTAGAAAATTAGATTGCTTTCATTTCTATACTTTGTTCTGAATCTAATAATTATTTCATTACAATTTTATGAGCGTATTCTAACACTAATCGGTTTATCATGGTATGAGAGGTCTTTGATTATTATATTAGAAAAATTAGATTTGACAATATATTATATTAGAAAAATAATTATCTTTATTTTACATATATTTCTTCTATATTAATTTATTAGTTTAAAAAATTAGATTGCTTTCATTTCTATACTTTGTTCTGAATCTAATAATTATTTTATTACAAATTTATGAGCGTATTCCAACAGTCGTCTAATCAGGTTTATCATGGTATGAGAGGTCTTTGATTATTATATTAAAAAGTAGATTTGACAATATATTATATTAGAAAATAATTATCTTTATTTTACATATATTTCTTCTATATTAATTTAGAAAATTAGATTGCTTTCATTTCTATACTTTGTTCTGATGAGAGTCTAATAGTAATTATTTTATAACACATTTATGATCGTATTCTAATCATTCTAATCGGTTTATCATGGTATGAGAGGTCTTTGATTATAATTCTTTATGGGTTACATTAAAAATTCTTATGATTTTTCTATCATCTTTCTTCCTCTATTCGACCTTGTTTATCAATATTGTCAAATCTGATCTTTTTCATTATTTATATCTTCTAATCTTGTCGATCTCGATTAAGTTATATTCTAATCTATTTCTTCTAATATCGTTGATCTCCCAATTTTAGCAACAAGATTTCCTTTAAAAAAAATGAATTTAAGCATTAAAAAATGTTGTCATTTATCATTATATATTAAAAAAAGTTGTAAAATCCAACATATCATTACATATATATAGAATTATATATATTGTTCAGAAAAACTACAAAAATAACGAACAAAAAACCTACACTCTCCCTCGTTCATTATATAGAAGAAGAAAAGAAAAAATACACACACAATAGCCAAAATCGAATCGGGTCAAAAACCTTTTATGCTCTTTCCACATCATGTATATGTTTGCCTATGTACATTAGAGAACTGAAGAATATGCTCATATATATTTATATTTATATACAGACTTACTGTATATATGTGTGTGTGATAATATAAGAAGGAACATATATATATATATATATAAAGTACTTAATTTAGTTTGTGGAAAAAGTGGTGCAAGACTGTGGAATCTGTGGCGAATCTCCGTTACTGCTTCCTCCACTTTTACTATCAACCTTGTTATTCGTATTATTATTATCATTATTATTGTCGTTACCTCCTCCGATAATGTTTGAGATCGCCGCCGCAAGTGCCGCCGTGAAATTTGGATCCATCGCAATAGCAGCCCTAACCGTATCTACCATGTCACGTGGTGGTGGTGCATGTGGGCCCAGCAAATTAGGTAATAATAACTGCGGATGATTATTGATAGACCTAACTTGATTAGCGTTTGGTAAAAACGCTGTGGGACCGTACTGGCTCAGAAAGTGCGGCGGGAGCGGCGGTTGTAGCGGTCGAGGTGGGTTGGTGAGGTCTAGAGTAATGGTTGGGAAAGGAGCGGAGGCGGAGAGAGTGGCGATTGTGGAGGTGTATGGGAAGTTATGGTAGAAGGAAGATGATGACGTGGCGGAAGGCGTAGAGAGAGTTTGGTTGATGTTGCTGGTGGTGGAGCCTGATAAGAGCATGGCGGCTGCGGCGGAGGTAGTTGCGGCCATGGCGGTGGCTGACGGTGGAAGAGGATGGTTATGGTTTCCTTCGTACGTTGTTGTCAAGATTGTTGTATCCTCGGCGCATCGTTGGACCTACGTGAATGCAGATTATATCAATGGGCTATTCTCTAAAACAAATATTGCACTCTACTTCTGTTTTTCAAGAATAATACATTTTGTTATCAAGGAATTTAGAAAAAAACTTTCAAAATTTGGAAAAGAAAATTCTAAAAATTTCATAAAAAAAACTTCCGAAATTCGTATGGAAAACTTAATTATAAGGTTTACATAATAAAAAAAAAACATAATCATCATATGAAGAATGTATTGCACTCTATTTCTGCTTTTCAAGAATAATACATTTTGTTATCAAGGAATTAAGAAAAACTTTCAAAATTTGGAAAAGAAAATTCAAAAAAATTTCATCAAAAAAAAAAAAAAAAAACTTCCGAAATTTGTATGGAAAACTTATAAGGGTTGCAGATGTTATATACATAAGTTTTTATGATATTGCTCTGAATCGATACGTATAAATCAATGCATAATTTCAAATAAGTTTTTCGTTTATTATTATGGCATTAATTTTCACTTGAAATGATAAAAAAATATTTATCAAAATTAATCATTTATAATTCAAACGCAATTTACGTAAATTATATGAACCAATAAATGTAGAAGCAACTGACTTTTGCTAATAATTTTTGTTAAATTTAAACATTATTTTATACGTTATAAATTAGTTACGACTTATTTACTAACCTGTTTACGGACAGGACATCCCACGGCCATGGTGCAACGATAGTAAGCGCGAGGACATGGATTCCCTTTCGCCATCTTTTGCCCGTATTTTCTCCATTGACATCCGTCATTTACCTATAGAATAATAATCATATTTATTCGTTTTTGAAACTATATATACTGTAATATATGTAAACAAAAAGAAGAATAGTAACATGTAGTAGAATAGAAAGTTACCGTGGTGGCATCAGATCTCGCTCTAACGGAAACCCTAGCTTTTCTAAAAGGTAACTGATCATGAGGGTTTTGTTGTTCTTCATGGTTAACAATCTTGTTTTGGTCCAATCTCGGAGTTTTTGGTGAACCTCGGTGCAGATCACGATCATCCACGTCGTCCGGAGACCGTCGTTTCAAAGTGTTGGCTGGAGTTTCATCGTTCATATGCATTGCTCTTCTATCGTTTAGAGCTTGTGAAGATACATCTTGAGGTATATCCTTTTTTACGAATCAAAAATTGTAAGGAAAAAAAATGAATTAATTAGTCATTCAATTAATTAATCTGATTATCGCTTTCAACTTATAGTTACGATCAATGCAAAGATACACACACATGTGTGCATTTGATAACCTACCACATATGTCTATTAAAATATTCATTAAGACTCAAATGATACGACAGCAAAAAAATAAGATGAATATACAAGATCGTACCTATTGTAAACAAACAAGTTCTCGTTTTGTATATATAGCTTCCAAATAATTAAAGGGCTCTCTAGTTTGAAATATCTCAGAAAATCCAAAACTCATTTCATCATTTAGTATATTAGTTGTTAATTAAGAAACAAACTTGACCAAGTCATTGGATTGTTCTTTTTTTTTTCTTTTTTTCATTAAATAAAAGCTGCATTTATATATTTTACTTATGGCTTTTAAAATCTAGACATTTTATCTGGCGATAAAAAATATTTGAACACTGAATTGAAAGTACATCCACTAGACACTAGATACGAATATAGCACATAATTTCAAATTTCAATTGATATGGAGAAATATAAAATATGTAGATCAAGCAAGTACTTATAATTAGATAAATCCTACGTCAAAACCTAGCTACACTGATCCCGATGCAGCGAATATCAATAAATAATTTAATGACTTTTAAATAAGACAAGTATCAGAACTTATATTGTAATAAATTGATTTTATTTTCTTATCATATCTGTGATACGAAAAATCAAGTACCTCGTGTTTATGAAGACCTTCCACTTGTGTCTGTCTGGCCATCAAAACTCTACTTTGAAGGTCGTTGTAACTCTCACTTATCTCTTCTAATAAATGCTTCAGCTTGTGATTCTCCTCGTGAAGTCTCCCTAACTCCAATTTCAGCCTACTAATCTGCAAATTCTAAGTTTTTAGTTATAACCGTTAAGTGTAAAAGCATAAATCAAACAATCTACAATTATATATATGAAATAAAAATTGGCCAAACAACGTATTTAAAAAGCATATGTATTATAAATGAAAATCCGCATGTAGGGTAATAAATCACATGATCACATACGTGTGTACACAACAATATATTTACTTTCTGATTATTCTGTTTCTAAATGGTTTGTAAATTGATTTTATAATTGAATTATTCTTAATACAAACACTTAATTCTATATAGAGAAAATAATAGCAAATCAGAGCACTTACTTGGGTTTTGGTTTTGTCATCACCATCATCACTTGATGTTCCAAGACGTGAATTTACCAAAACTAACTCGTCCTAATATGACATGAATTTAACGTATAATTAATAACGTCCAACATATATATATATATATATATCATCAAATGTTGTGTATGAATATATAATATGAAACCTTACGTTAAAACTGGAAGATCCAACGATATTCGTCGTTCTCACATAACTAGGATCATACGGCTGACTTTTGGCGGCGAAGAAATCAACTTCTTTGATAGACGGCTGGTGATGATGATCCACCGGAGACTCGTTCGTTTGATGATCAGTTGAGGTGGATTCTCCCCGGAGAAACTCGCCGGAGTGCAAGAACGCAATTTCACGGCGATCTTGAGTGTGTTCTTCCATTTGCAGACAAAGGGAGAGATGGAGAGGAGAGAGAGGAAAGAGAGTACATATAAAGACTAAAATTATAAGGATAAGTTGTGTAAAGTCTTAGCTAAAGGTTTCTATTTTCAACGAGAGATCACTCTTTTGTCAAATGTTATATTTATATCCCTAAATAAAAATAACCAAGCAACTATAAATTGCTCAAAACAAAACTATATATTAGTTTTAGTTTTGTATTAGTTGATAGCTTATTTACGGAACTCCATAATGATTTAGTTTATAACAATCACCTGCGATTTTTGTCTAGTCTTATGAACATAAAATATCATTTTAAGTTAAATTAAGGTGTTTTAATTTAATGTTAACCCAATATCTATTTGTTGACGATTTTGTGACTCGGAAATGTTAGAAATGAAATTGTTATTATGTTTATAGTTCCTTGTTTTAATTTATAAGTATGAAATATTGATAATTAAATATTTGTTTGTCAATTTTATATGACTCTTTCTTTTTTAGCTTTAAATATATTAAAAAAGATCATTTACAAATAGGAAGAAATATTTTGGCATTTATCTCGATATTTGACCAAGTTCTTAAATGTCAGATTTGATCTCGATATTATATGTCATTTATTATTATTTTGTTTTCTTTCTAATTTTTTTTTTTGGAATTGTTAGAAAATTGCCCAAAAATTAACATGGAGGTGCAAATAAGAAAATGACTCGATCGAGTGGATTAATTCCTCGATATAGCGTCAGATATGTACACGTGTCAAGTGATAAAAGGGTAAGATCGAAACAATGACGTGTTAATCGGTAAACAGTGACGGATTCCCGTTAAGTAGCCGTTAGGAGAAAGTTGACGGAGAAGGAGGACGTGAGAGACTCAGTAAACGACGAGAAGCGTTGTCTTGAAGTCAACGGAGTTGACGGCACGGCATAACGGTGGCACTATCGGACGGTGGGGAAACGATAAAAGAGAGTGGGACCCATTAGAGGAAGAAAAAGTACCTAATCCCAACTTGACCATTCATTGAAGCCGGAGCTAACTACCAATTCTAAACTCGTCATTTATTTTGCCTTTTTTCTTTCTTTTTTTATTATTTGGTCTTTTTTTTTTTTTAAATACTAACAATATAAAAAAATTCAGTTTTTAATTCTGTCATCGTCAACGAGCTCAGAGAAGACCGTCGTGCAAAGTCACTATATCTATATTTTAATATATGAGTATTATATTACGATTTGGTAAAATTAATTGAGATTCAGATTTGATACAAAAATCGATTCGTTTCTCTATTTTTTTAGTATACGCTGATCGAGTTTTAAATTTGAGTAGGGGTCTATGTATGTGCTCAAGAAGAGCTTATAATTAAGATGGAAAATAAAACTGAAAAATGAAATAGTTGCTCATAATTAAGAACTTTATTTAGGTGCAAGAAATGAAAAGTAAAGAAAGGTAAGAACTAACTCAACACCAAGGTCAAATGTTTTCCTTCGACATATGATAAATGTGTTAAGGATGTGTTTAGTTTCTAAAATAACTAGTTTTAATTTTAAAACCGGTTGAAGAAAATTAATGCTAGTGTGAACTTTTTACTTTTTGTTAAGTAGCATCTTGGAGTCTTGTTTCCTTAACGAATACGAATAAAGATGCTAAACTAAGAGGGAACTTGTTTGATTAGAAATACATTTAGTTCTACATCAACGTTTAAGCTAATTAGGATCATTTTTCAATTCAGAAGAAACAAATTGTCTCAGATTTGGACCAACCTAAAGAAACTATATAGAGTGACGCTGAAAGTTTTGCTCCTTGATTACGATTGAAGCTTTTCCTCTAACAATTAATTATTCGTCAAAACTTACTAAACTTAAACTTGCGAACACACTTAGGTTTTTTTTGTTGACATCACGAACGAACTTAGACATATTGTATCTCGCGTTTATGATGTCTTTAACTCATTATCTGGAAATACAGTAGAAACTCTTTCGAAATCACACGTAAAAATTTATTTTTCTTCTCGAAACAGTATAAAGGATCTTATCTACATACAGATGAAGGTGAAACCGAAATTTCAAATCTGGTATTTAACTTATCATCATTGTTATTCGTTTAGTATTAAGCATAAAGTTGCCCAAAACTGAAGGAAATTGACTATTTCCTATTGGTTGACGTATTAAATGCTGACAGATAATTGAAATACTTCAATATATTCGTTTCTTGTTAATCAGCAGATTCAACATCACTTTTTTTCCCCCCTTCAGAATCATTGTTTCTTAAGTTTCTTTTCTTATAATTGTATATATGACTGTCCAAACCATTTACATATATAACTGACTTTTGTCCTTCTCGGTACACGTTTCTACTCGTCGACCAGTCTCTTGTGATTAGAAAATCAATTATTCTTATGAAAATCTTGATTTAAATGTCGACACTATCTATCAAAATATAAGGAAAATAATTAAGAATTAGTTTAATGAAGATGTGGAAAGAACTTTGGTCAATGAAGTAGTAGAAGATGCCATGTTTTCAGTTGACACTGAAATCTACAGCTGGAAGGTCCTTTTCCATAGGGTTTTATTTGTTTATATATATGATAAAATAATTGTAGTTACTATAAAAATATAAGAAAACGAGAAACCATATTTCATGAGTTTTTTTTTTGTTCATATAAACCACATTTCACAAGTCGTAGAGTTATAATATAAGAACAGAGCGAGGATTGTTAATACCTAACATAAAGTTTTTTTTTTAATAATCGAAAACTATATATATTTCGAAATTTCAACTTTCAAGTCGTGATCTTTGTAATTTTCCATGTGGGCGGATTTCATATCAGCAAGTCAATGATGAGTTAAAATATGGTATTTAAATAATAAAAGCAATTTCGTTTTGTGATTATCAAACAGCTGTAAATAATAATTATTCTATCAACGCAAATAAGAAAAATCATTAACACCAAAAAATTGATCAAATTATATTATCCTAACCACATTATTATTATATATACGTTTATTTGTAAAAATTTAAGAAAAAAAATTCTTATGTTATTATTTATCCATTTTCGTCGTTTCCAACATCGTTCAATATTTGTAATGAGAAAACATAAGTATCTGCCCACATGGTAAATCAATACAACAATAATACTAAAGTCTCTCTATGGCTTGACACCTCAGACTTTTTAAGCTTTATACACATGATACCTCAGCAAAAATAATCACCAATCAAAACATTTTATTAATACATCTCATCTACTTATTTTAATTTTTAAACTTAACCTCATTAAAAACCTAAATATTTTTTCTATTAATTTTTGTTTTATTTTTTACAAAACCCAAGCCCAAATAATTAATAACAGCAAATAAAAAAATTATTATTTTATTTTTACCAAATTCAAACCTAAATAATAAATAAAAACAAATAAAAAATTAAATCGTTGTTTCCATTTTTTTCCAAAACCAAATGCAAATAATAAACAACAATAAATAAATAATAAAAAAATTCTAGCTATCTATTTGTTTGTCATAGACGTATATGATTGAAAAAATGTAGGCTCAACATCAACTATGCTTCCATGACAACAACGCAAAAAGCCTTATGTTATAAGAAGCTCACACATCAGCAAAAATTTGAACCGATAAAAAACATAACAATTTTTAGTTTTCGCGGGAAAATATAATTTCACGGGAGATAATGCAATTTTTGGTTTTCGCAGAAAATTGTAGTTTATTTATTTTTGTAGGAAAGCGTGATTCTGCGCTTGACAAGAAAATGATTTTTTTTTTTGGCAGAAATAGACGATTTCTCAGTTTTCGCAGGAAAAATAAATTTTTCGATCTTGGCAGAAAATATAATTTTTTTTTTGATTTTTGCAGAATGATGAATTTTTTTGGTTTTTGTATAAAATGTAATTTCTCGGCTTTGGTGGAAAAAAACAGGTTCTCGCGGGAAAATGTAAATTTAGGTTTTAAGTTTGACCAGAAAAAAAAATTTGGTTTTGGCGGGAATATCTGATTTCTCAGTTTAATGAAAAAATAAAGTTTTTTTGTTTTCACGGGAAATGCGATTTTTCGATTTTTGTAAGAAAAAAAAAGGTTCTCAGTGCTAGATTTCCAAGCTAAATTATGTTTACAGTAACCAAAATTTAATTATTTAATTTTAATTAAAATGATATTTTAAAAGTTCAAACATAATTTTCTATTTAGTTCTAAAACAATTGCAATGATTTTGATATGAATGTTATTGATTATAGTTTGATAGTTTTTAGAAACATATGTTTATAATAAAATATTTGATAAATAAATAAATTTATAATTCAAAATATCATATTAATTAATAAATCTCTTTTTAAATGGCATTTTGCTTTATATAATTACAAAAGAGGACCATGTGGTAATTTATTGGAGAAAATAGATTACATTTGCCATTAGCATAAATGTACTAAAAATGTATTGCTTTATTCTTATATATTTTATTTCTATATATATATATATTTATAATTAGTTAGTTAACTAAATTTAATAGCAAATTATAATTTTGAAAAAAAAATATATATATATATATATTTATTCAGATTTAGAACATATAAATATATAACTTAAGCTAATAAAAAATAAATATAATACTTATTTATATTAAAAAATAATTTTATTATATTAAAAATATATACAAAATTTAGAAAAATATCCCGCAGCATAGCACGGGTAAATACCTAGTAACACTAAAGTCTCTTCATAGACAACTGAGCTTTTTCAAGTTACCAAAAACTGACACATTAACAAAATTAACACCCAATAAAAATACTTTATTAATACACATCATCTACTAACTTTTATTATTTTTAACTTAAACCCATTAAAAGTCCAAATGTTTTTCTTTGTTAATTTTTATTTTATTTTTTGCCAAACCCAAGCCCAAATAATAAATAACAGCAAAAAAAAAATTATTTTTTACCATCTCCAAATCCAAATAATAAATAACAACAAATAAAAAAAATTAAATCTTTGTTTTATATTTTTGCC